CCAATGGGGATTACAGGAGCACCCATGGCATTCTGTGAAGTATTAGCGACAAGACTTCATGATCTCTTGGTAACATATTTTATGGAATTGTTTATGGACGATGGAGGTTGCGCAGCTGACACATTCAGGAATATGATGAACAAGTTGGTGATTATCTTCACTCAGTTCAGAGAGTGCGGGTTCTCGATAGCCCCAGGAAAGACAAAGTTCTGCGTATCGGAAACGGAATTTGCAGGGGGCACCATTGGACAAGAAGGGGTAAAACCGGACTTAATCAAACTGACAGCGATCGTAAATTGGCCAAGACCAGTGAACGCAATGGGATTGACGTCATTCTTAGGACTCACAAGTTTTTACAGATCACTGATAAAAGCCTACGCAAAATGAGAAGGTCCATTGCGGGATCAAACCAGAGCAAGAGCCAAGGTAGAGTGTATATCGAAGGAAGAAGCAAAAAATTTAGCAGAAAAAGAACATACTGAAGGAGGCCATTGGGGAAGGGACGCAATGAAGATGACATTGTTGGATTGGATCTGTAGTCCGAAGTTGGATGCTTCAATCATGGAGGCTATACGAAACTGCGCTAAGTGTAAAAGTTTCGGCTCAACACATTTACACTCACTATTGGAACCAATCACCAGGAGACACCCGTTCGAGTTACTAGTGGGCGATTATCTTGCACTCCCTAAAGGGAAGGGCGGATATAGCACATTAGGAGTCTACCTCGACGTATTCTCACAACACACCTGGGTATTCAAATATAAAATGGCAGGCAGCGCAAAGACGACAATGAATAGCCTTAATGGGATCTTCAGCGCGTTTACGCCATCAGAAACTTTCATGACGGACGGCGGAAGACACTTTAATAATGACGTGGTGTGGATGCTATGCGAGGCACGACAATGTAAACTGCATATCGTGGCAGCGTACTCTCCATGGGTAAATGGTCTGGTCGAAGGAACTAATAAGCTATTATTGCACATTTTAAAGCAATTATGCGCACCAGATATGGGAGAAGACAGCGAACAACAAGGAGCATCTTGGGATAAACTCCCAACAAAATGGCCGGACTACCTTGATGACGCAGTTCACGCTCTAAATCACCGTTTATTACCAGCACTAAAATTTTCTCCTAAGGAATTGCTTCTTGGCCTTGTGCCGAACACACCACAAACAAGGATTGAGGACAGTGCTTCAACACTTAGGCAATCGGACGTGTTGACGCAGATAGCATATGTGGAGCAACAGCGTCTGGACGGTTATGAGGAGACGGTCCGCCACGCCATCAAGCGTAAAGCGGTGTTTGATAAGAGAATTCTGCAGAGAATGCCAGGTGAGGTTATTTTTAAAATCGGTCAATTGGTTCAAGTATACTGCAACGATTTAGATTATACATTCAAAACGGAACGGAAGTTAGTACCCAAATGGTCGGTTCCACGTCGAATCCAGTCAAGAAATCTCAATTCATACAAACTGGAAACGCTGGAAGGAAGACCGATACAAGGAGAATTTAGCGCAAGACGCTTGAGAGCATTCATTCCCAGGACGGGCACTCAGTTGGCGAAGAAGCAAGAAATATACGAAGCAGAGAGAAGGAAAAAAGACGAAGCAGAGAGTGGAAGAGAGGATAAAGATAATGATGAAGAAGAGGAGGAGGAAGACGAAACGGAAGAAGATGATGAAAGTGAAGATGGATTGGTAGAAGGGGAGGAGAGTGGAGAATAGAGTGGAGGAGTGGTGTCGAGGGCAGCGCCGGTTCTTATTAGGGGGGTGCATGGACTAGGGGTCTCATGGGTAGCAGAGACGAAGAGAAGAGTCTCACGGCTGTTTCCGAGGCTTAGTTAGACAAGGTTGACGATTCAGCACAGAGTACAGTAGCACATCATCACTCCATCAGCTTAGCACCACGAAGCCAGTTTGTCCCATCACACCGACATCTATTACCTCCGTGGACAGGTGAGCAATGCGTTTCCTGCACGGCCAACTGTCACTCATGAATTCACAGTTCTCTTCATCACCAGTGAATTCAAGGAGGCCACGGACAACTACGCCAACTGTCCAGCGAGCTTGATGACGCATTTGTATTCTCACATATCCTGGGTGAACTTGCGCGGAGCATGGAGACCTCCCTATGGATGATGACCAATTTCCCTCAACAGAGCGAGCCTCAGCACTACTAGTGAGTAGCTGCATTCTATCATAGCTTTCATCTAATGACTCGGCAGTGGCGAGCTGTTGTTGGATTGACAGCACTGGTGACAAGTTGATCGAGCTTGTGTCGCTCAAGCGTGCTAAGTCTGATTTTCTCTTTCTCTTTAATACGTCGACTCCCTTCCGCTCAACCGGACCTCCTCCGATGACGTTTTCCCCCTTGATAACAAGGGCCTTGCCATCTACCAATGGATTCAAGACATCGCTACTGCAGAACGGTGCTGCGATGAAGCTTGGAGAATTAATTCCGAGTACGAGTCTGCAGTTGCCATGCTTGCCCAACTGTTGGTAAGATCGGCCGCGCTTTAAGATATTCAAGAGGCAAGCGGAACTAGCGCGCAGTGAACCAGAGTTGATCAATGCCCTTACATACCAATATGTGAGTCGATGTGAGGGCATTGGCTATTTCTGATATAACAGGCAGTTTACAGGCAAGTACAGCCACTGTCGCACCCATAGTGAATTAGGCAAGAAGTTCCCTCACCTCCGGCAGTCCATATGCGACGAGCTCGCTCAAACTTTGACAGAGATCAGATTTGGTAAAGCTTTCCGCAGCGTCCTCTGGATTCTGGGTGAGTATGTCCAAGGCCCATCAGTCATTCAAGCCGCATTCCAGAACATCTGCAAAGTGCTTTGCTAGATCCATATTCTTGCGAGTGAGCAGCAGTTACTGGACGATGCTGGCGGAGAGGAAAACAAGGAGGACAAGAAGGTCGAAGGAAGCAGGCTGCCAAAGGTTGCTAATGGGACATGTGCTATGGAGACCGTGTACACCAGTGCCAAGAAACTCGCGTTGTGGTTCGCTGACCTTGCAAACGGCTGGCCAAAGGTCAGCTCTCCGTGCTGAGGTACATACCACTGTTAATGTTCTATAGCATTCACTGACTCCCACCCAGTGAACGTTGATCATGACATCTATTATCCGCGTCGGCCAGTTGAAGTTTGTCAGTACCGATCGACAGGGATTCCAATGACGTTCTTGAACCTCACGCTCATTCAGCATCAGAATTAGTTCTGCAGCAAGGTTATGAACCGGCGGTTCCAAGTGAGGTTCTGATAGGAATAATCCTGACGATAATGGCCCAGATGTTATTGAGCCAGATGTCAATGTATCATGGGAGAGACATACTGAAACTGTTGCGCTCACCATTGCTTTCGTTCTGACTTGTCTACATGTTCTTGTGCATTTGCCATTTACGAGGACCCATAGTAGTCAGTAACAAGCACTGCGGAAACGAGATTTTAGGCAGACCCTAATCAGAGGGAGACGGCGCGTGTAACACGACTCTAAACGTACCTAGCTTGTAATCAGACATAAATCCGAGATGTCGCAAATTTTGCATCGCTCGCTCCGGAGCAACACATGTAAACAGACACTTTTTCCAACTTTGTCAACACGTCTATTCGGACCCCGTTTATTCTCTTCAAATACCTGCAATTCCACCACTAATCAACACCGCATATTCAATATTTTGACGTCTGTTTAGGTCGCGCTTGAAGCAAAGTAAGTTTTTCAAAAATTTGTCTAAGTCCCCGCGTTACAACCTGCTCTACTAGTACGGGAGTTTTTGCTCACGTGACTGCATACAGTCCGACATGTCTAGATATCGATATCGTTATGTCCTCTTAGACCATACTACTCAACACATCCGAACCCTGTATCAATCGACCAACATGGCTCCCCCTGTACGCTGCTACTGCAAAGTTACAAAGTGCAACGGCATTCTTGTTCCACCTCACGTTTTTCGCTCGCATGAGCGCTCTGACTTACGCCAACGAACTCTTGCTGATCAGGCCAACTTTGCCTGGCGTGTCGGGCAACGCATCATCTCACAGGGTGATGCAGATATTGAGCCAGTTCCTCGAGGATTTTCAGTTCCGTTACATGAACCTCCCCCTCCCTTGTCTCCGGAGTTTCGTGACCCTTTGGAGGATGTTGTATTGGATTACGGGGCACTTACAGATGTAGATTTGGTATTGTGACATCCAGCGGCCCTCTGCCCAACCTTGGTCCTAACATGCGCAGTCCCGAGGCTCTTATTGCCGCTGTTGACCACTTTGACGCGTATAACAATGCGACAGCTGGAGAAGACCACACGGATCTTTCACACCTCCCTCACCATCTGCTAGTAATATACGCACTTGTCTCGTGGCTTCACCTTCAGTTTCACCTTCCACAAGTTGCATGCAATGCACTCCTTGCGATACTGGCTTGCATTTTACTCTCGATTGCACCCGCCATCGACACTCCTTTTATAACGCTTCAATCCAGCAATCGGGTACTTGGTGTGGACAAGACTATCTACACTCTTCCTGTTTGCGCTTCTTGCCACGAAGTTTTCCCTCCTGCTGGTTCAGTGCATACCGTGGATACCTGTCTGATCTGCCTCGATGATCTTTTCCTGTCAGAACACACTCTGCGGGGTAACCAACGAGCAGTCAGGTCCCCGGTGATAAAATATCTTATCTCCCACTCTCCGGACAGCTGAAATCTCTCTTGAAGATACCTGGCTTAGAAGCACTACTGGATGGCTCGCCTTGAAGTGTTTGCGCTTGTGCTGTAAGTGCATTGTTTGAGGTCGTAATATTACTACAAAACTGTTGTATGCTTTCAGACAGATGCAGCAATTCACTGGCACTGGCAGTTCTACCCTGTGGACCCGAGTACTGCATGTCTCCAGTTTGGTCCTGGAAAAGCAAGCCGCCGCATTGGTATGGGTATGTTCCCGCACCGTGTGATTGATGAGGTCGTGCGAACTGATTATATTCATGGTCGTGGCCTCCACCTGGTGCCAAGGACTGCGAGCGAGAACGCGGCTCACTGCCTGATGAGAAAGGAGTGTGCAAGTTTCCATGACCAAGGTATGGTGTACTGGCCGGCTGGGGGTTCATATAATTATTGACACCGTGCATAGACAGGGAAGGTGTACGCTGCTCGTTGTGCCTGGGGATGAATGGGGTTTTCTGGTAGGTTGTTATTGCCCAACGGTCTTCCCATATTCTCATTTACACCGTCTTCCCCTGGCTAATAATATGTGAGTTTTCTGTGTTCACATTGAATTGATTCTGACAAGTTTACCATTGCAGGATTGGGCAGCCGTGGTCCACTGAAGTACTCATCGTGCTGTGGCAAGTCGTCATTGAGCAAGTTGAGTGGGGACGGCCCAGGATGAGGCTGGCCAAATTGGTGTGGACCACTCATTTGAGACTGGCGGTCTTGACTAATGCCGTGTTGGTTAGGATACATGGGGGCACCGCTAGGGCGTCTCTGTGGGCCTTGGGATCCATGCATCGTGGATGTGGGGTGTGGAGAACAAAGGGAAGAGCGAGCGAGAAGCTATGGGCAAGTGCATGGCAAATCCTAGGAAGCATATGGAGCATATGGACCTCTTGTACTATATCCTTTGCAGAGTCTAATCAGAACTATTTGTATATGTATGCAGACATAATTCAGATGTGCAAGTCGTGTTTTCCGATATGATCCTATTGTCGGATTAGATACACAGATAACTAATCTACCTCTGCAAAATTTATGTGTCCAGTGTCGGATTAGAGCCAGCACTGTGTACCTCTCGCTAGTCTAGCGCTTCGGGATTTGCGTTGTATGCGATGTCTGTTTATATTCCGCATATATGGTCTGTCCCTACACTAATCCGGCCTGACTATTTTCTTGTTTCCGCAGTGAGTGAAGGTGGCTATCCCTATCTACTGTCTTACACTTTTTTGATGTCCACTTAAAGACTTTTAACATCAATTTTCTAATGGGCTTGGCATCAGGCCTTCAAGATAAACTCATAATGAACTTCAGGACGCATTGTATTTCCTTTTTCATCACATCAGGAAAAACCCCCTTTTCATATTGGGGACAATTAGAGCAGATTGTATCAAACATAATAAATCCTCATCGTTTTCTCAAATGCGTGCCAAAAAGACCCAATATTCGACAGTCTGAGCCAATGTGCGCATCGAAAAAAAAATTCAAATGCATCGGAGAAAATTTTTAGATACATGATGACTAGGGCCGGCGTTGCCAACTATTTACCTTGCTCCGGCGACTCTAGCGCTTCCCCAATTTTATTCGGGAATACGAGGCTGTCGAATACTAGTACTACAGTCCTAGAAAATACGCTAGAAAAATAGGAAATAAGACACGCTTCGAGATACAAGTATGATTATGAGTGCAGTGGAAGGCACTGTCCCTCTTTTAGGCTTTCGAACCACTCGCGTCTGAGTCAGTCTCGGGGGGATTTTTCGGTCGGTCCAAGTCTTTGTCGTCGTTGATGTGCAGGTATTTGTAGTTAGTATTGTGGTGGACCGCACCGAGCCTCAGAATGGTTACGTTTTCCGCGGTTGCTTGGAAAGTATTGGATTTTCCAATGACGCACGGTGAACTGAATCTCCACGATGGAACCATTGAGAGCGGTATTAACTTGGCGTGGATGGGTTGAATAAGGTTGCCTTTTTCTAGAGGGCTCGTACCATCGACAATGTGATTTCCTGCATGTATCTGGGCGATAGGCGGATACACGACCTATGTACTATGACGAGTTTGGGCGGGAGCTCGCTACTCTCGTTGACGAATTCCAGTCCAGTAGTACCGCTGGAATGTTGCCAGATGGTTGGACTTGGTGAGTTCCGAAAGTTCACGGCATTTTCCGGATTTGTATAATTTTTTTTTTGCAAATCGAATCGATCGATCAGTTCTCTTATCATCATCTCGAGTATCATATCTGCGATGGCAGCTAGGGTACAAACTTACAGTTGAAGACTTTTCATGGGCTTTGATGGGTTGCGTGAGTGATTCGCTAGTTTCTCCTTGCCAGACAATGACCTCTCCATCTCTATTGACATTGCTTGCTATGAATTGCCGATCTCATGATACAGCCAATCTCGATTCTCGACACCCTGCTGCTATGCCTTCCATCTTCCTCAACACAATACCTGTCTCCAAGTCCCACAGACGAAGCATCCGCCGTCTTCTCGTCTTTTGACCTACTTACCTGATACTGATGGTGCCACAGCGGTGTCCCACTCTCAGGATGTGCGTGATCTCGTCATTTGACCTGCTTACTGACGCTGATGGTGCCGCGGTTGCGTCCCACTCTCAGGAAGTGTGTGATCTTGCCTTTTGACTTGCTTACCCGACGCTGACAGTGCCCTGGCCATGTCCTGCTCTCACATGGTGCGTGATCTCGTCCTTCGAGCTTCTTAGCAGACGCTGACGGTGCCACGGCCATTACTTTCAGGCCCTCTGCTTAGTGTTCCCCATCTTTCGTGCTCTACCATCAATGTAACTCAGCACTGAGCTTCTTGCCATCTACTGCCAACGGATTCATGCGCACGTTGCTTCCGGTGCCCTTCAGTGACCCACGCAGTTCATCTCATCTAGTATGTTCAACTCGTTGTATTGATTTTCTCGCTATTTTACTGACCGTGTATTGCAGTGGCTCCAAGGCCAACGTGGTGTGCGATCTCGAGACGGACGAGGCGTTGATGTTCCTTGACATTGACGCAATGCCAGAGTCGGAGGAGTAGTAGGTGACGAGCGCTAGTAGTAAAATTGACTAGGATTCGCCTGAATTTGATTTTTTTTCGCGATGTTCGAATTGGATCTAATGTGTGATTTATACTTTGGTATTGTAGTAATTAGGGTGAATTGTCTACAATTGGGAGGGGGACTAAAAAAATCATTCATATCAATCAAACGTATCGAATCCTCAACAATCCGCGAGAATTGTGTCAAATTAGGAATCACCGATTTCCCTGATGCACCGTGGATGCAAAAAAAATTGTCCACACAGCTGTAATGTTTAGACATTCACAGTTATCTATACGTTGAAAATACACAGTTCTGTCCACACTGTTCCAACATTCTTAACATTTCTCATCTTTCCTGAAGACATTTTTCCATTTTCCATTCTCCTTTGCTCCTCTATCAACATAAATTGGGTGTGTTTCCACTGAAATCAATCTACCAATATCATCCTAATCATTCTGGGCATGCTAGTATGGGTAGAAAAAAAGCCAAGAACCTCGCATTCACAAACAGTGCACCATACTTGCCCACTGAAGTCCTATGCAAAATTTTTCACATCTGCCTTCCAGAATTCCCGGATCTCACAGAATATGGCGATTTGATGGTACCATCACAGCTGGAAGCTCCCATTCTCCTCACTGGAGTATGTCGGAGATGGAGGGAGATTACTGTGGGCACACCCAGTTTGTGGTGCAAGTTATCATTGCAAGCCTACTCTGAAGAGGAGGAGGAGTGGCAGGAGAGGGCCTTGGGTTATGACCTGTGGCTCAAGCGATCACAAGGATATCCACTCTCATTGGCTCTCGATTGCTATGAAGATAATGCAGCCAGGCTACGAGTTCTTCTTCAGCCTTACATCAGTCAAATCTCTTCCCTCTGCATCAATATTGATTCTGAAGCTGAAGAGCCTGAGCTTATGTTAAAGGACCTCACAATGCTTCAGGAGCTAATCATGTGTACAAGTGCAGTACCTTTGGCGGAGCTCATCAGTCACCTTCCATCCACTCTGGGTATTCTCCATGTGAGGAGGTTTCATCACGATACACTTCTATTCAACCACCATCTCATAACTTCCTGCAATCCTGTATGGTGCCGCCTGACAAATATCACAATCGATGCTGAACAGTCAAATGCAGTACTTCCACTTGCTCCAGCTAGCACCCGACCTTTCATCATTATCAATCTGCATATCGATCTCAAAGATAGAGGCCTTAAAACCATTCATGCACACTAGACTTCAATCCTTGCGTATCAAGGGATATACACCCCACACAAGGTTATCTGATCTCTTCGATGCTCTCTCACTTCCCAATTTACGCATCCTGGAAGTTTACAATGCTTCACCCCTGGCCTCATCAGGAATTCAAGGCCTTCTTGGCACGATCAAAGCATCATTTGGAGAGCTTGTTGTTGGGTTCTGGAGCGGCAACAACAGAGGGGCAGCTATTAGAATACAAGGCCCTTATTCCTTCTCTTGAAGTAGTGGCTGATCCTAGTTGGCATGGCATATTTGGACCATTGGAATGGGATATTTCTCATCTAAGTTAGGCTTCAAGCAGTTTAGGTACACATCACATGCTATGCAGGACAGAAGTAATGAATGTATATAGGATGTTCGTAGCTACAAGATATATATATAAAAACAGAAATGGAAGAGTTGAAATGGAAGAGTTTTTTTCTTTTTTTTTTCAGATACACGAATCCATCTCAAACTCAGATCATATTCTGCTCAACAACAATTAGCATGCAACTTCAAAAACAGAAGGCACTCTAGCGCACACCCGCAAGAGCAGCATCAAACATGCCCAGCTCTCCATGATGCATCAGTCTATCAATGGGCTAAAGATGGGCTTTGCGATCCACTCAGCAGGTGTATTGCACAGCACCTTGATCAAAAGTCATCATAAGAATGGAGACTATACCAGGTAAGCTACCTACCTTATCTTGAAGTACATCGATACTTATGGTTCTCTTTTTTTATTTAATACATGGGAGACAGTAGATTATCGGGCACATCGGCTGCACATTATGCTCGTAGTAGGCAAAGCCTTGGTGTGATTTTAGGGTTAGGGCTTATCTATATATGGAAATCCGTCCCAGGACGGACCCTAACCCTAAGATCTGTAGTACTAGTGTAGACTTGCGTCCTCGATCTTGACTTCGATATCCCATGCAGAAGGGCGCTCTGGGGGTACCTGTGCTGAGTTAATGGCGGAGTAATGGATGGAGTGTTTGCCTGCAACCCCTGCTACAAACGAAAGCGAGGAAAATCCAGAAGAAGCGCAGGATGATGGCGAATGGGCATCCGGGGGCTTGTATTGACAGGCCGGCGGAGTAGGTATTGGCGATATTGTTGGTGCTATTCCTGAATTAGTACATGCTACAAGGAGGTATTCACGCATTCTTACATAACAGAAAAGCGCAAAGGACGAATTGGTCAAAGCGACCCCAAGGAGAGAGAACTTGCTTGATTGGGCGCCCGTTGAGCCGTCTGCAAATACGACGATATGTACGGGATCTGTGATTGTCATGAGCGCTGCGCCAAGGCTCTTAATGAAGCAGATGCGGATGAACAGGCCGAAGAATGTAAGCAGGAATACGCGCATGGGCGGCGTATCAGCCGATAGCCGGCAATTATAATCTGCTGCTACAGGAACCTACTAGTGGATAAAGGTTACAAGATTTAGCGCCCGATGTGATATAGGAGGCATGGACGCGTACCATGCTATACCCGACAAAACATGAGATGAGGCGCACATGCCAATGATAATGTGAGCGGAAGGGCGCTGGGATTGATGTTGGCGAGCGTTTGACCTGCAGGGATGACTATTGTTGTAGAAAAGCCGAGCCAATACGTGATCAGTGAGATAATGTATATATAAACGAAAATCCACGCACTGAGTGAGCGCAATGAGGACTGAGTAGGTTGTGCCGCCGAAGTATCTCGCGTTGAAACAGGTGACAGTCACGATGCGGAGACCAATTATGCGGTTGGGGGCAGCGTTGCAATACCGCCAAGAGCGCCAAGGCAGAGAATATTTGCTACATCGTTGTTTGAGAGAATGAGCATGGCATATGGTGAGCGACATACCTAAAACTGAAAGTGAAAATGGACTGTGCAAGTACCCCAGTAGCGGTGGTGGTCGACGCCGTATTAACGGATTTATGCGAAGATAAAGGAAAGGGGACATGAAAAAACCAATATGTTGGATCATGATCGGACTGACCACGACATGAGAAGGCTACATCGGACTCAGGACAGGCATACGAGCGCAATACAGTATACGCACCTGTTCCGGTACACGCACTCTACTCCGCGGGCCTCGACGTCACTGGTAAAGAGACCCTAAAGAAATGGACCGTGTATGCCAAAACGACTTGCGATCACACAATCTGACACTATCTCGGGAGTGGTGGCAGAGAATAAGGCGATGTACGGTGCTGGTGGTGTGCGTGGAGGCAGAAGAAATGTGAGTGAAGACGAGGCTTGAGTAGTTTGCAACCGAAGGGAAGTGGACTCGGCTGGGCTTGATAATCAATTACTTCATAGAGTCAGGCAATTCAGCTCAAACATGCACAAATAATAAAGGCGAAGTGATTTACATGAAATCATCGTATGTCCCTATAATTCCGAAGATCCTGGCTACAAGATCGAGTTCAAAATACATCCCTCCACACCTATCCTATGCCTGTCGATTTTGGCCTGTCCACGCGTAAATCGCTTATTTCGATCTGGAACTTGCCAAAGAAATGAAATCATTCTTCGACCATGAGCGACTGCGGTACTTGGCCTTACCAATGATCCAAGGTGGCTGTCTGGTGTTAACACCATTGAGTGGGTAACCTGGCAATCTTAAGAGTTGAGGCGCTTACACGAAGATTGCGACAGTCCAAGGCAAGTGGAAGGTTGCAAAATGAAGCGTTTTGTTAAGCAATGAGGCGTAGAACTTGAACTGCGTGGAAGTAGATAAACGCACCTCGACCAGTTCAACGCCGTTTTAATTTTCAAAATCAGGAGAGATGTCCAAATTGTCTTCTGCGGAAGTCCTCTCTGTGCCCATTACCAGGCAGAAAAGATGACCTTGCCGCTCTCACTGATCCCAACGCGGGATTTGCACCTAGACTACGACAATTGTGTTGCGACCGGCCGGTATGTATCAGATATCTTGTCAGTAGAGTGCGCCTCACCAGCTACTATAATAATAGAGGCGGAGAATAGTGCGTCTTCTGATGACTCTCTCAAGAGGAACTCGACGTCTTACGCATGGAGGCTAATATCCGGGGCCTTCTCCAGGCTGTAATGCCGCGAGTGAACGCGTCTTGCTGTTGGTTCTTAACTCAATGTGACTGCAGTGCCCGCAAAACTGAACCAGAATCACACATCCATCCCTGCGCATTACTTGCCAAAAATCCGTACCCACCCGCATCAACGCTAGCGCAAGCAATCATGCATTCTTCCGCGCTCCTCACAGACCTCGTCGTAGTACGAGAATAGTTTCATGAAACCGTCCCGCAACCGCAACGTCCAGAAGTCACCGCAGGATACTGGAAGTTTACGAAGCAGAATTGTTATGTCGGCTCTACTGAGTCTACTCACAGGCTCAGGAATCAGAGAGGGGTCTGATAAAAGAGCCAGATCCTGATGCTATGTACAGAAGTGATGGTCGATCATCAGCAGCTGATGATGCCGTGAGTCAAATGATCACCTGTCGAAGCCCTGACTAACGCGCAATTATTCGCAGGGATTTGAGAAAAGCCTAGCACAAGCGCTCTGCAGTTGAATTAAGCAGAAAAGCACATCAGCCATGGAGAATTGCAAGTATTCGCGGTTCGCTATTGGTAAGTCAAACTCTAGGCATCATCCACGCATCTTTCTGATCTGCTGACAGCAAATGAACAACGGGGGTGACGACGGCATCGATGACGCCGAGGAGGCCGAAGGGTGGCAGGGAAACCCACGTCGAAAACTATGAAGATCAACATGCGCAATGGCAGCGCTGAATGTGCGCCATTCAACCACCTTTGCACCAACTTGTAAACGTGTCCTTCAAAGCCCAACCTCCCCGATCCAGAGTGCATTCTTTCTGCAGCTCTTGTGCTCGGCCCTCAAACATTCAGCGTCCTGAAGTCTACATGTCGAATATGGTAAGAACATCTACGCGCACACATCAGTATCCTAATCGATTAGAAACAGACCGCAGAGCTGATTAAACTGGGTGGTGGCTTCTGGGATGGCGGCCTGGCAGTATTAGAAATTTGCCTTCACCGCCATCTCAGGAGGAAGGCGCGGCTGAGGAAGAAGAGCGGGAGAGGGAAGCGACATCTACGTTGGAAACACAAGGGTGGAGAACGGGTACGGCCTATATGCATGTGTGTATTTTCCGCGTGCTGACCGTCAGTTAGTCCCACCGCAGACCATGCATTCCATGTCTCTCAGCTGGCCATCATCCTCGATCGGACAAGTTCATTGCTAGAAACCTTTGCAGCTGGACTCAGGGATGAACGCTTCGATCCTGAATCGTCAGAGTAAGTTGAACAACATGCATTTGTCATTCTCTAACAAAGCAGCAGATACCCTATGATGACACGTTTTTTCGCTCACCTGTGCCTTTATTTATGGATGATCGACATTCCAGTTCTGCCGCAAGTCATTCTCGAGGCTTACCTACAAGTTTTGGAAATGAGAGTTTCTCCTTGGTCGTTTTGTTCCGCACTAATCTCCCTCTCAGGCTACAGGCCAACTAGCCATGTATGTCGGCGCACTAGGAGATGTTCTTGACTTCGCTCGAACTGACTGCGGACATTAACGAACGTCGATTAGCATTGACTCGTGCACGAGAACATCATGATGGTGTAAACGTTCACAGGGTGGCAGTCGTCACTACTGAGCGAACTATCGATAGAGCGTTTGAGGTTGGTGGGACTCGCATCTCACGAAACTCGTACGCCGAACACTACTCGCAGCTTCCACCCCAAATGAAGAGACTGCTCCCTTCTGTCATTGCATTGCAGGCCACTCACAGTGAGCGCTTGAGCAGCCGTGGCAAACGACGAGCAAACGATTATACTCCAACAATAGGCATCTGCCCGTATGTTACGGACGCAAAACAATGTGATTGCAACATTGTTTTCATTATCTACGTACTCGATCTCACTATATTGACTACACACAGAACTTTTATCCATATCTCACCAGGCCTGGCGATAAGCAGTTTCTACTGGCTATGGATCGCGATCCATCACACATTCATTCATTCATTATGTAATGTGGTGTTCGCGTTCGGACTGGACGTGATTGGTTGCCGGATCCTGCGGAACGCTGGGTTCTCTGCAAGAAGTTTATTCCAATATAAGCCTCAGAATGCACGACACACAGTCCCCGACGCGGATCATTCGGCAAACCTGACAGAATGACAATGCGCTGTGGAGCTGAGCTTAAACTCGCTTTCCAGTTCATGACGGCCTCCTCCGCCCTCCACAGCCTGCTGCGCACACTCTGCCAGTTCGTTGCTGTCAAGTTTCGCAGCACTGGATAAGCTTAGTCGAGGAAAAAATAAACAGCATAGGGACTACATACGAAGAGCGTTGACAAGGTTGGCCTGTCGCCACATCTTGACCTCCTTGTATAGTAACCAGAGAACTCTGAACTCTTTTCTCAATCGAGCGATGGCTCGAGGTCTGCACGAGAGTCGCTAAAGCTACGTTGATCTCTGAGAACTGATGCTCGCATGCAGACTGAATGTAATTGATTCCCGCATCCTGCGGAACGCCCGAGTCGCTGAAAAAGGTGTATTGTAAGGAGCTTAAACTTGAACGGGGTCGTCACTTACCATGGAGACAGCTGGCGCCCAGCGTAAGTAGATGGCAGAGATGAGATATTGCTGTCAGTATCGACATCTGATCGGCCATCAGCGTTCGACACCATGGCGCTCTCCGATCGCCCGAGACTCTCGGCGGCACTGGAATAAGATCCCAATTTGAGCGTCGCCTCACTCTCCGCCTCCCGTACATGATAGTTTCCTCTGCACGCCAAATCTTGGTGCCTGATACAGGCACTTCGTCGTGCTCGACATAATCATTCGGAATGCTGTATAATGTCAGTGAGGCAAACACGACGTAGGAGACGCGTACGAGGAGTATTGAGTAGGTAGATCTGTGTCTACAATGTGACCGCTGGGTCCGCCTTTCAGGTCAATTACTAGGGAGGAAGTCTGACTCATCGTGCACGAGGTTCCTGAGATCATCGGATGCTAGATTCGACTTCTGCGTGTTCTCGACAGCTCTGCACGGCGCTGGCGCTGGTGTTCTGTTATCCTCGGATCCAAGTCTGGGTTTCTAAGAGGATAAGTACGCAAGGCAAGTTTGGGAGCGATATCAGCAAGATCTCGCCTTTGCAAGGGTGTCATCGTCGCTATTATAAATTGAGGAATCAATGATTTCCGGCTCCTTCCACCCAGATGGCTGTTTGCGTTTTTTCCTTTTGTCGGCTGCGCGCGTTTGCAATTGCGATGGTAGAACTTGTTGCGCGCTTCTTTGACGATGGGCGCTCCATCGTGATCGGGGCGAAATGTATTGGTAGGCTTGACCTGGCTTGACTGATCGGCAGTCCACGGTAGATAAAAGTCTAAAACCTAATACCATCAAACAACCACGTAACACAACATACCACAACACCGCTCACTACTCACTACTTACTCGCATGCGCAACCACAAGGTCCCTGAAGGGTGATGATTTTAGATTCCTGAACAGTCAATTTAGCACTGCGACAAATAGTGATGTAGCAACCAGTAATCGTTTCTAGATGCGAACCTGTATATCTACTCCATGGCAGCGGGCGCCAAACAGCCACGGCTCATGCTCAATCCCCACCCATACATCTGCAGCTCATAGCATATTTCAGAAAGGCGCACACGAGAAAGTGAAGGCAGATACCTTCCAGGCATCCAAGACGGCGCCGAAGAGACGGGAGACGGACGCGCAGGTGGTGGATGAGTGGGGAGGATGAGCCTCCGCGTTCACAGGAAAGATGCGTATCTGCATGCAAAGGGGAAGAAGAAAAATAAATGTGAGAGTTGCAAAGGGAACACTCGGTACAAGGCCCAATGCAGCGAGTTGATGCAAACCAAAAATCCGTGACGACATAGAAAGCCAACGGCAAAAAAGCGAAAAAAAGCGACCCACCTATCACGCCGTACATCATCTCAACAACTTGCCATCGCAAAGTCCTACGCGCCTGTTATGCATATACGAAATGCTTGCTCCTAGCCAAACTGCTCCTCTTGCTCGCCAGTTTGAATGAACGCAATCGCAAGCTCTGAGGCGCGACTATACTTGAAGGCGATATTCTGCGGCGAGAGCACTGATGACTGTTGAGAATCCAATTCGTCTGAATCTCCGAGGTCAAACATCGAAACGCATCCATTCTATAACGAGATTGTTAACGAGGAAGCCTGAATGACAGATACCTGTGAAAAAAACCATACCACCTGGCGCAACGAGCGAAACTGTTTGCGAAATCAGGATCCGCGTCCAGATTGTTTTTTATGACAAGATCTGGAGGATAGGAGACGTCAAGCTGAGCAGACTTCCACTCCATCTTGGCATTCGGTGAGCCGCAACTAGTGTTAGTGAGTGGTCGTCATTTGGGAGACAACTGGTTGGGACCTCTACCGCGTATATGGATCATCGTATGCTGGTGGTGCTCCACTCAGCATTGGAAGTGCAAAGTCCATTGCAGGCACAGCGCTTCCCCTCTGACTCGCAGGCGTGATTGCCCTGGAAGGAAGGGAAACTGGGGTGTCCATACGACAGACCGGGTCATGGTACACTGTGTTCCCGGATACTGCGATCTTAGCACTCGCGCTCGACATCGGGCGTTCTCCTGCAGGGGTATAGCCTACACCAAGCCTTTGGTCGAGCAAAGATTGGACTGCCACGGTGTCTTTATCTAATCTCCTGCGTTAGTTTGATCCGCTGCGAGATGACGAGGGTCCAAACCAGCCCCTTCGCAGACGATAGGAGTTACGCCAGCTGTCGGGTCTTACGACAGCTGGGTATTCATGGAGTCGTCATCTTGCGGGCAGCATGAACCGAGCTCCTGGGCGCGTACGCGGCGAGCAGTGAAGACTTTGAGTCCTCCAGGTCACTCATTGGGTAAGAAGCACTGCGGACGGATTTTTCCTTTTCATTAAGTATGGAGCGGTCGGTCTGAAGGTTTGGCGGGTGACAGTGGCCCTCGAAAAGGTGGGGGTGGAAGTAGGGGCGCGATGTGCTCGGGCAGAGAGGGATGACTTGAGTTGTACATGTGTGATCGGGGTATGTCTTCTAGTTTCTTCCTCATCTCCAATGCGGAGGAGCTCGCCAGGAAACATGATGCGGCCTAGCATTTCGCTGTTGGTGTGGGCAGGGATGCCATCACCACTGTACGCCCGTCCAAAGTGTCCAGGGCCAGGCAGGACGACGCCATAGTCTGCGGGAGCCTGGGAGAATTTTGTTCGATCGGGGCTAGCGCTTCTTACAATACGAGGTGGCGCAGCACCGGGGGAAAGAGAAGATACTGGACGTGGATGTCGTTCAGGATCAGTAGCGGTGGAGCAGGGCCAGCGGCCTAAGCCCAGAGCAAGGCAGACAAGCTGAGATGATGATGGATGGTGAAACCTAGTCTGCGTGCTGACTAATCTGTGGAAAGGGCCAATAGGAATCTTGGTGCGTAGCTCCTGCCCTTGGGACCCCTGGTCCAGCGGTGCTGCGACGGAGGAAAGAATCTGCTTCGTCATCACCGCTGTTACGAGGAGAGCCCAGACCAGCTGGACGGTTCTCCTCCTCGCCGGTTGCATCTGGGGTAAGAATATTCCATCCTGTTCATTAGGTGTGATGGCTTTGGAGTGTCGTCGACAGGAGTTCCAGCGGACTAACCAGATGAAAAACAGAGGCAAGATGATGGAAAAGATGATAGCACCGATGATAATACCGATGAGGGCTCATTTAGATAAGGCAATTGCGTTCGAAGAGTGATTTGATGTGGTAGAGGTGGAAAAGGAAGGGGATGTGGAGGCAGAGACAAATGAGGCAGATGTAAATGATACGATGGTAAAGAGGAAGTAGGTGTCGCAGAGGACGTTAGGGTGAAGGTAGAGGATGTCGCGGTGGACGAAGTCGTTAGAGAAGAAGTTGAAGCTGCTGGCGAGGTGAGACCACCGTAAGTCCAAGCGCCGTCACCCGCCTGAGGGAATCTGGAAGGCAAGGATGTCAGTACATAACTTCATTAGCGAAGGTTGCCTGCCCCCAGCATGGAGGTCGGACGCACAGTATGAGATGTTCCCCTTTTGGTCTAGTAAAACATCAGCTGTCGTACTTTCTGGATGTGCGAAATAATCACAAAATAGTAGAAGCTTCCACTCTTGAAGCTTGATACCCCAGTCGTAATCGATAGCACCATAACGCTTCAGAACAAGTCATCGGCAAAGCTCATCACCAAGCCACTGCATGCCACGATTTCGTACCAAGTGCTTTGTTGTGCCTGTTCGATCGCAACTTGAACTTTAAATTTTAACTAGCAGACTTTCCGTTCTTAGGATTGACTTGATGAGAAATAATGTTCTGAGTCGGGGAGGGCGATTCACCCTAGGGCGGCGCGCACCTAGTACTATGGCAGTCCTGCGGATGCACATGTGTGCAAAAGTCCGGTAAATAGAGTTCAAAGTTGGTGGCTCGCTGTCATGAAGGTAGTAATTAATTATAACTTTAGCTTTTGCGCGCGTCCACAAATAAATATACATAAGTTGATTCCAAATATAGAAGGTCCGCTTCAGACCACGCTCCGCTGCGCTCGCGCCTCACTGGTGCACTCATCATGAGTATGTGATATTCAGGCGTTTTCAGATGACGCCGCCGCCGCCTCTATAAGTGATAATCCCACCCACTTAATGGTCTTGCTTATGACGACACCACTGGTACTGCTTCTCTTCACAATACATCCTCCCGTACAGCCAGATTTCTGCATCTACCTTCCTGTGAGTCTGCTACAAGTATGTGATCGTCTGAGGTCAAGCGCTAACTAGATTTTTCAGGCCAGATTATGAACATCGCGCTAGATTTGATAGGTGTGGTCGTGATTACAATGCTGGAGGGTGAGATATGCAGCTGCAATACTCAGTGATATTGACTTGGCTCAAACATCATGCTAGTCATTGTGATCACTCAGTTGCACGCCATGTATCAGCATTCCAGAATGGTGCTGATAATTCTCATCGTCGCCTTTCTGGCTATCGCTGTTACCAATATAGTGGTAGCCGTAATAACAATGAAGCATTTTTCAAGAGGTAAGTTTACTTATGGATGACGAACTTTCAAAGTGCATCCAGCTCATTGACGCATTCCAGAGGAGCTTATTCTGTCTTGGACCTGTTGGCGCACTGTTGAATTCGAGGGACATGTGGTCCTTGTAGATTCCATATGCTGGATACTTGGCACTGGATGAGAGGTCCTCATGTGTACGATGTTTTAATTCGGAACGAGACCTTGAAGGTAAAGCTTTTCGATACAGTCGGTTAGTGCAGTTCGCCGCTCTTTGGCGTTCGTTACTGAACTGGATTACAGGTCTTGGTGAGGGCCCTGAAGGAAATTCCCCCGATAAGGACGCTCGAGGAATTCTGAAGAAGCTCCTTCGAGATCTTATGAAGCAAACTGGTATTCATCTCCTCATGTACTGCGTGCGGGGTGTGAGAGTGACGAAGGCGCTCTGCTGCAACTACGTTTTAGTCCGCTCCGAAGTGAAGGAGAGAGTTCCAATCGTTCTTGTCGCCAGGAGTTTAGAAGACAAAGGAGAGAAATGGAAGAATGGTGGAGTGATAACGAGCGATCCATCTCAGACTTCGGGATGACCTTTACTGGTCACGCATGTGTCACCACGGTGACTATCGATAAATATGCAGGGGATAAGCTCAAGCGGCGCCACAAACAGTCATGCCATTCCGTCTGTCGACTTATCGAGCAGTATCACCTGTCGGAAAGAGTTCAAACTCCACACTTAGATGTCGGCCGATGGCTACATGGCGCTATCCAGCAGGTATCAACAATGACCACAAGGTACGTAGTTTTGGGATACTCGTACACATATCTTACCAACATGATGAACAGGAAAAAAACATAAATATATCGTACTTGCTGAGGAGACAGCGGCAAGCGCTGGTTCACTCGCTAACCTCATGGTGGCACAGGAGGTAGCGCCCACAGCTCCCGACTTGCAACTCTGTACGCTGCAGTATATAGAGACTGTCGACCTGTATGACGAGATTTCAAAGGCATTCGAAACCATTCGATTTGAAGACCCGCATCTGGAAATCAAAGAGCACTCGATCCCTCCCGAAATGCGCGCGAGATGCGTAGTCATCAGGTGCTCCTTGTGCCCTATTTTACCAACATTGATGAGTAGGAACGAGGATCAAAGTATCATACTCGCTGGGGAGACAGCCGCGAGCGTTGGTTCACACGTAAACCTCATGGCAGGAGATGAAGCAGCGCCCATAGCTCCCGATCGCGACGTGCAACATTGCATGTTGCAATGTTCAGAGACTGTCGACTCCGATGACGAGACATGCGAGGCGATCAAAACCATTCGAGTCGAGGACCCGCATGTTGGAATCAAAGAGTGCCCTATCACTCCCGACATCGATGATGGGTGCGTAGTCTTCAGAAGTTCCTTGTGTCGTGCTTTGCCAACATTAATGAGTAGGGACAATGGAGTCGTACTCGTGGGGGAGAAAGCGGCAAGCGATGGTTCGCGCGGCAACTTAGTAGTGGGAGGCGGGGTAGCTGACATAGGACGCCGTATGCTGCAATGCTCAGAGATTGTCAACTCAGATGACGAAACTTCCGAGGCGCTCGAAAAAAACATTCCACTCGAGGACCCGCACCTGAGAATCAGAGAACCGACATTGATGAATCGGAATAATGATATCGTACTCGCTGGGAAGACAGCAGCAAGTAATGGTTCTCTTGTCAACCTCATGGAGGGAGATGTGGTAGCGCGCACAGCACCTGACGTGCGACGCCGTGTGCTGCAATGGTCAGAAACTGTCCACTTCGATGACAGGACTTCTTACGCCTCGTGGACCCGTGTTTGAGAATTAGAGGATACGCCATTATCCCTCCCCAAACGATTACAGGGTGCATAGTCTTCAGATTCTCTTCGTACCAAATTCGTCTAATTTGATTGGTAGGAACAAGATCCCAAGTATTGTGTTCTTTCGTCAACTCGACCTGCATATGGGAATCACAATGTTCCTTGTCCCTCCCAACATGTATGCAAGGTGCGTAGTCTTCAGGCGTCCCCTGTACCGCAGTTTGATTTTATCAGTAGGAATAAGCATACAATTATGATGCTCTTTTGGTAGACTGGAGTGAGCAAAAGCTTACTCGTCAACATGATGGCGAGAGAGAAGGTAGCGCACACAGCTCCTGACATGCGATGTCGTCTATTGCAGTGTACAGAGACCGTCGACTTGGATGACGAGATTTCCGTCGAAACGATTCGACTCGAGGACCGACATCTGGGCATGATAGAGTGCCTTATCCCTCCCAGAATGTGTGCAAGGTGCGTAGTCTTCAGATGCTCTTCGTACCATAGTTTGTCTAATTTGAACAGTAGAGACAAGTACGAGCTTGTCGTGCTCTTTTGGCAGACGGGAGCAGGCAAAGGTCACTCATCAACCTCATGACGGGAGAGGGGGTAGCATCCACACCTAACATTCAACGCCATATTCAATATTCGACTCGGATAACAAGAATTCTATGGTGTTTTCACGTCTTGAAGACCTGCATCTGAGCATCAGAGAATACCATATCCCTCCAAACATTGGTGTAAGGTGCGTAGTCCTCAGATGCTCTCCGTATCGTAGTTGTCTAACTTGACTAGGAACAAGCACAAAATTATCGCGCTCTTGTGGCAGACGGGAACAGGCAAAAGGTCACTCGTCAACCTGATGACGAGAAAGGAGGTAGCCCCTACAGGTCCTGACGTGCGACGCCGTATGTTGCAAAGTTTAGAAACTGTCAGCTTGGACGGCAGAATTTCTAGGGCGTTCTTTTTTTTCGAAAAAAAAAAGTCAAGATTTTTGTCTTTGAGAGATTTACTCCATATTAGGGCGTTCTTACGCCTTGAGGACCCGCATCTGAGAATCAGAGGATTCCCTATCCCTCCCAAAATGATTGCAAGGCGCGTACCCTTCACATGTACTTCGTACCATAGTTGTCTAATTTGACTAGTACGATCAAGTGTATAAATATCGTATTGTTGCGTCAGTCGGGAGCAGGCGAAAGCTCACTCGTCAACTTCATGTCGGGAGAGGAGGTAGCGCCCACAGCGCCTGACGTGCGACGCCGTATGCTGCAATGTTCAGAAATCATCAACTTGGATGACAAGACTTCTGGGGTGTCCTTACGCCCTAACGCCCTAAGACCCCGCGTCTGAGAATTAAAGAATATCCTATCCATCCTAAAATGGGTGCAAGGTGCACAGCCTTCAGACGCTCTTCGTACCATACTTGTCTAATTTGATTAGGAGGTTCAAGCATCAGGATACGGGAGCAGGAAAAAGCTCACTCATCAACCTCTTAGCGGGAAAGGAGGTGGCGCGTACATCTCCTGACATGCAACGCTGTACGATGCACTGGCGAGAGTATAACATCGGCTTCGGCGATACATCTTACAAAGTCTTTGATACCGTTGGACTCGAGGCACCGCAACTGGGAATCAAAAGTACCTCGAGTTTGTCGAGAACGCCTATCGGCTCATCAAACAATTGGATAAACAAGGCGGCATTGATTTGCTTTTATTCTGCGTTCGAGCCGGCAGAGTTACCGCTACGCTGCAGAGCAATTACAGGCTCTTTCACGAATTCCTCTGCGAGAAGAAGATTCCCATTGTCCTTGCGACCACTAATCTTGAAAGAGAGAAGAGGATGGAGGATTGGTGGGAGAGAAACAAGGGCGCATTCGACAACTATCAGATAAAGGTCGTTGGTCACTGCGTGCATCGCCGCCGCTAATAGATTGGACGGCAGACGCAAAGACCTTTATGAAGAATCGCGCGTCACGATCGGGATCCGTAACCTGGTTGAAAATTTTACTGCAAACGAGCAGAAGCAAGCTTGGTTAGGAGGGGATAATATTAATCTGTCCACGTCGTTGACACATAAGCTGAAGGAGTTACTTCAGGGGAATTCGTGCCTGAGAAGGAAGGATCTTGTCACTCATCTCACTAAGCGTTGCGTTATTTCTCGAGAAGTCGCAAAACGGTTGGCTGATATGATCAAGCACGATGTAGAAGCTACTTGACTTTACCCTTTCGACAACTTTATGCTCATCCGATTATGAAAATTTCCTTTGCCCTTGCCATTAATACGTCACACATGGATTTATGCTATGTACGTATTCCAGTACAATGCTCTCCATATGCGAATGCGGTGGCGAGGACCACTGGGGCCGTGGCCTGCGTGGCTCAAGATGAACTAGGTTCAATGAATTCTGAGAACCAATACAGCGAACGTGAATGCGGTGGCGATTGAGATGCACGTTCTCTCGCGAAGTAAAGCAACGAATTGTACTAAATGGCAGTGATGGTGAAATAGGCATAGTTGAGCGCTTGGATACGAAGTTGCCTTGTACTTGCGGCATAGGAAGTTCGAAGGATCGCAATGACGCTCATGTCCTAAGATAATAATAGCTGCATATCGATAGCCATGTGGTACGTTCAAGTCTGGTTTGATGTGTAGACCGGGAGCCGCGGCTGGGCGTGTTTTTGCAGGTTTTTGCACCATGAGTATCCAAATCGAACGCTCGATGATGAAGAAGCCTTTCGCAAAGATGTTTGTTGGATCGGCGGCTATAATCCGTGAACATCGCGCAGAATAATCACCCGAGAACCTCACCGCTGCAATTGTAGATACAATCATATGAACGTAACTGGCAAATATTAATGATTTCCGTTCCTTGTTTCAAATACGACCGTGACAATAAGGAGGCTCACTATGGTCCTGGGGCGTAGCGTAGATAACAGCAAAAACTGGGCACGTTCGGCAGGTGAATCCAGGCCAACAGAGGCGAAACTGTGTATACGTGGAACTCCCACTGAGGATACCAGAAAATTTGAGGGAGCCCCAGATGCGGACTCATCGATGAACGCTTTGTACACCTTATCAATGTGCAGTCTGCGGCAGCCGTCTGTTTTATATGATTGATTATTGAAGTGATCACGAGCTTCGTGAACGAGTCACCAGATCATTTATAAAATGACAATTAACCTCCTTCCAATTTCATAGTGTGTACAAGTGGCCCGGTCGCTGTGGCAATTGGAAAGTCGTCAGGTTTCTGCCCCGCAAAGACTACAAATTGAAAAATGCGGAGCATTTGATACGTAGAGGTCGGGCCGTTCAAATTCAAGGAGCGCACAATATAATCGCGTACGATGGTAAGACAAGCGAAGTGATTGGACTAGGTTTTCATATTGCCGTTTGGATGATGATGAGAGCACTTCAAACAATTTGATTCGGTACCGGTACGTCATTTACCGTGTGAATCCTAGCTACTACTTAGGAAGGTCATGCCACTGAAACGGAACTCACCGACTAGTCGGAGGCGACCATTGAACCTACTACTATTATAGAGTCAAGACCGGCGATGATCGCACCCATGTACATCATGTGCCAATAACTTGAACCAATACCGTTACAAAATTTCATTTGACCACTGGCAGATAACGCCTTCAAGCCTCCCTGGTATAATCTCAGAAAGCTGAAATTTAAAGCGACTAGTTCAGGCGTCCGCGCGCCACATGACAGTGCGTATATACATATCACTATTCACCAACATTCAAGTTACAATTGTACCCAGATCGAACTTTTGAGCACCCGCGTCATTTGTTTCGCCGTTCACGATCCACGATAAGGTTCAACGTTCCTAGTTACAACCTCGATCGGAAGTACCGTTGTTTCCTACGGCCCTTCGGCCATCCCATTAAGCATGCGTCAGCTTGAAGTATTTGGACTGGAATCTGCGAGGAAACTTGTTGTCCTAAGTTAGATTGTGAGTGAATGCAACAGCGGCCAGCCCACCTTGACTGCTTATGCTGAGCTCGGTTGTCAGACTTAGCTGTCAATTCAATACAGGTCAGTTGTCCATCAAGGTGACGACATTCGATAAATTTAATGTGGTCCGGGAAAGCATAGCCAATCAAGATCCTTTTCCTCCGTCGCGCGTCAATGATCCGCGTATAGTCTCTGTTTGGCAGAGATCAACCCAGCTGCGGAGTGACTTTGTTTCAACACCTTCGTGTCAATATTTGCAACGGCTCCATGTCGTGATTTACAGGGTAGACGATCTGGACAAAACGCCCTGCGAAGTTTTATTCCAGATCTGTAATGCTCTTTTTCTCGAAAGTCCTGTCGTCGGCTGTGTTTTTCAAGCAACTATGACCAGTCTGGGGTTCCCAACATCCCGCGTGTCCGATTTCGCGTCTTTTAGCTCATCATTGTCTTTAAGTTACCCATCCTTTTGCCTTTGGCATTGCGACATTCCTTCGACAGATGGAGGAATTACCCTCAACGGGGAGAGGCATATACTCTTGGTGGTCGGTCAACCTTGTCGCTGAGAGGGTAATGTAGCGCTCGTCAGTCTATAACTTGGTCGGGCATAACTCTGCAATCACAGGTCATGCTGCCCCAATTGCAGGAACTGACTCTGCCGGTGCTCAGCTAGAGTCGGATACAGATGCAAACGGCAGTACCCATTGTTGCCCCTAGACTTCCTCTATACAAACGAAGATGGTGTATAATCATTTCGATCGTTGGTGCTGTTTGGGAATCGCGTCGCTCTTCATCATTCTGTTCCCCGTGCTCCGCACAACTGTTCAGTATGTAATCAAACCAATCCACGTTGGATATCCAACAGGCGGCAATACCGTTCCCTTCAAATACGTCGTAAGCGTGCATTGCGATGCACAGTAAACGCGCTCACTTATCATGCGGCTTCACTTTGGCAATGCTAGGCGTTGTATTGTGATCGTATCTGTTGACCGTTGGTTTCAGGTATCTCATACTGGTATTTTCTCCGCCGCAGCGGTCTTCTCGCAGCCAGTAAACGTGAGCTGGATGAATGGCCAGTGTTGAAGTAACCTCCGGCTATATGTCGCTTCGATCCTGTATGCTTCCAATAAACGGGCAACGATCAATGATACCCACGACCTTCTACACTCGCGGATCAAAACGCCTTCGGCCCGCTTCACGAGCTCAATGATTACTTCACAAAATTTTACTTGGAAATTACAGAGTTCCAATCTGAATGTCCAGGCGATGAAGTTCCCCACCCCGCATGGTATTTCATTCAATAAGTGGCGACCATCAATGGTGCAGTATTTTATATTCACGTAGATTTTGGTGCAACTGACAAGGAGTCTTGTTAAGGCGCGAATGATTTTGACGGCAATGTCATTCTCGAGGGACATGCAATTACCCAGCGACAATTCCTGGGGGAGGTATTGATTTTGTGGCGGTTACGCAGTTGAACAATAACAAGGTATTCTTCAACCTAGAGCCTTCATTGCATTCTGACCCCGATCACTTTGTATAGCCCTTTCGCACTGGAGCTGGGAACAGTAGTTTTTGACCTTGCGTTCTACCAAAATGTTTATCTTGGTACTGGAACGGGGTTCAATACCACTATTGTAGGTCCTATGTTCTAAATTCTCGATTCAGATCTATCAACTGCTTAAGGTCCCCTGGTCGTAATAACATCACGTTGAACGGTATTTTGGTACCCCAGACGACGCCTGCTAACCTTGCGACGGTCTCGCAGCTTTTCACCAATCACATTCAATTTCGAAAGTTCGCCTGTCATTGCAGTGGGCAAGTCAACATTGCAGCCTGATGGTTCGCAGATATCTTGACTTAGCCAGGGTTTGGAAAGCCTTCAGTTCACGGTGCCCTTCAAGTCAACCACACCGATCAACCCAATTCGGTCTATCCAGATAGGGAGCATGGCGCTTGCATTCACTTCAGAGACGACATGGACCCCGCGAACGGACAGTAACTCAATTCGCGCGACGATGCGTCAATTGTGTGAAAGCGGTTGTTGTCCATCATATTTGACTTGAGCGCAACAGGGTTGCCTTTTGGGTTGGCTTGTCTATCGACCAGAATTGCAGAATGAGCTCATAATTTGTCAAAAACGGTTCGAATGCAGCGGGTTGAATACGGTATGATCACCCACTACATTTGTAATTCGCCAGTAACCATCTTGCCGCCGCCAGCGCCTGGGTGCACCAACGTCTTCAAATCACTGTGCCGAGCCCGACAGACACCGAGGGCACCATTAACATCACCATTTTAAACAGTGTTTTGAATGCCGCAGATCCAGAGCATGGTAGTTTCGCCGCATTCAGTATATTTTGTCGATATGGAGCTTACAGATTCTACCACGACTGACTTTCTGCTGGTTGGCAATTCTCGCGCGGTCACGAACACGAGCATCGGTCAAATTACTCTCGACCCTATCAAGGTCAACGGGTCGACCAGTCTCAATGGCCTGCAAGGTCCGAAGGGGTATACCACCATTGGGGCTGTCGACCTTATGGGAGGGACCCAGCAAGCCCTTAATTTTAGCATCGATGGTAAGAAGGCTTCTTAGATGTTGTCAAATCGTAGCTGACTTCATCCCTGGCGTTCATCTATAACCCTTCCAATCTTGATCTCGGCTACTTGGCGACCTACATTAGTGGTGGCAGTCGATTAGTAGTGTAAGAATTTGAAATTGATATACTTCTTGTCACAGAACTCCAGCTGCAACGCGGTGGTGCAATCTTCGGAACGGCACTGATGCCCAACTTAACAATGAGCATGGGGAATAACTCGGTCCACATCTGCTTTCGATGTACGGCTGTCTACTGCCTCTGCCCACCACTTCTCAATTCACCATGTTTACAGCCTAACAACTCACCCGAAGGGACTGCAAACACTCAGCCAGTTTGTTGGCGGTCAAGGTATATCTTGAATCTTTTCCTTCAAGAGAGGGAATAATTAGTTGCCAGACGTGGAGCTTAATATCGTGGGCTACAGTGGGAGTACACAGGTCGCTTCTCTCCTGGAGGCCTTTGAAAGTATGAACATCACCGCCACGCTCCCTGGCACTCAACTCCAGTCTTTTGTCAACGGGTTCTTTGGAGAGTAAGTTGGGTTGCTTGTTTTCGGACCAACCTGTTAAACGATTGAACAGTCCTTCTACCACTTTTGTTACAAACAACATCAGTCAGGTCGCCGTAGCGCTCGTTAATCCTTTCGCTGCAGGGCTCGACAATCACCAGTATCTCATCTAACGTCATGTCGCATGGCTTGTACCTTGGTTCCATCAATACTGCCACGAATTTCAAGTCTGCAGGGAAATCAACTGCGAAGTCTCCCGTTCTCGACATGACCATGAACTACGATCCGCCAACGCTCTTCACACTGACTCGCGTGCTTGCCGTGCAGGCAGGTTTAGATTCCACGCAACTGGATGACATTGTAGTTCTTGGGGATTATCAGTATGTAACTGTCACGACGGCGGACTCCAAGCCAGTTCCTCAGCAGCAACGGAGAGCTAACATATACACGTCAATTCTACAAATTTCTTTTCGCTTCTGATACTAAATCAACTGTTCAAGGGATTCAATCTGCCGAATTTTGTTGACCAAGTGTTCAAGCAGTTGAGGAGTGACATACAACTATCTTCACAGCTAACGATTGGTTCGAATTTTGCCGTACATTTGCTTTCGATTACTCACAGCAGTACTGTTGCAGGGAACTACGCGACGACACTAGTACTCAGTTATACTCAGACTGATGTCCCTATTTCTGCGGACAGCAGCCTCAACTTAATCCTGCTCATCTTGGCGAAACCTATCGTCCAGAAGGTCGTCAGTGGCAGCGTCATGGGGTAATTGATATCGATTGCTTTGTAGCTCAATTACGTGCTGACTAAGCTGTGGAAAGGGCCGATAGGACCCTTGGTGCGTAGCTCCTGCACTTGGGACACCTGGTCCACCGTTAATGACATTGGTGATGTCGGAGTTACTCTCAACGGGCAAACTACGTTTGAAGTCGCAAACGCAGATTATTTACCAAGGGGGAGAAACACCATCCAATACATTATATTTTTTCTCAACGTCTCTAGGTTATGCCAAATAACGAATCGTTTGAATCGGTCATTTCTGGCGATAACCTGACTGGTACGTTCATGCTGGGTACAACTGCGTTGTCGCTTACGAGCATTTGGCGGATACATAGTGCTCTTGGTGTGTTAGTTTCGCGGAAGCTCGGCGCCATATCATTGACAGGCCCCAAGGTATCGAAGTATCCGGCATCTCTCTTCCTTCCAAAGCGGTCGCCTTGAAGGGCTTCCGAGTCAATGGTCTTAAGAATGGTGTGGTCATCGATTCCTTCGATCTCCCATTCAACGACCCTGCTGGCGGAATCCATTTGACGATTAATTCAGAGGTCATCAATGTAGGTTTTCGTTGCTCAATCTTGATGCCTCATCCAAGTCTCTTCCGTTGTAGCCTTCTCGAGTTGGCATTGAACTCAGCTCCCTTGCGTTCAATACCTATTCCAACGGCATTGAGATAGCTCCGGTCTCTTCAACTTCGACTGTCACGCTAGCGCCAAATTATACCTCATCACTCGGGTCAGCTGGTCGGCTCATTCCGCAGAACTCTTTAGAAGGGTTCGCGACTGTTTCCGCTATTTTCAACAACTACATTCATGGCATGGACAGTCAGGTCACCGTTATGGCGCTGGTGCTGGCCCGAGCGATGTGAGATACCTGTTGTCATCAGAATGGTGCCTGCTTATCACACCTACAGGTCACTTAGTTGAATGAAGGTATACAAACCATTCGGGTGGTGACATCGCTGCCGAACAAAGGAAAGCTTAACTCATCCAGTCGATCGATCTCGAACAGTCGTCTCTCATGTTCACCGAGGCCACCGCATACGATCCAATGTCAGGCAGTAATTTGACCACTGCTGCCTTTCGCTTTCCCAGTCGATATCACGGCGCTTGCGCAGAATATTACTGCTGGGCATCTTTTGCTGAACTGGTGATCCCACGGGGCCCCAGCACGACTGATGTTCAGAATCGTATCATTTACTTGACGTTTAACGATGATCCGTTTGCTGTGTATTCTGACCAGCATGAGACTTTCCAGAATTTCATAGCTGCTACGACGCTAGGATCTTCGCAAGGGTTGGCGCTGTCGGGCACTGCGAACGCCGATGCGTCTACGGCCGTTGGCATGTTGTCTCTTGTGGACATTGAATTTTCTGTGCAATCTACGATCACGGGATTGCAAGGGCTCAAGGTGAAACCTGCCTCTGTTGCCAATCTGGACGTCAATTACGGATATTCGGATACCTGTTGATTACAGTGGACGCTTCACTTTTCAACCCGAGGTATGTGAAATCTGTTATGAAGACGAGTCCAATATAAATCTTTACTCGTTCGTAGCAACCTGACAATTGGTGGGCGGCAGCATACCTTTGATTGTTGCTATTGACATTTGCTCTCGGGCACTGGCGATGTCTCGTTTACATTGCAGTTTGAGTGAGCATATTCTCAAATTCCTATGAAATACACACTAACCGGCTGTCAATAGAAACCAAGTCATTGGTTCTGCCGATTTGGTGGGTATTCATGACTTCACTCCGTTTCGGCGTTTACCTTCCCATCTGCAGAGCAACATGATCATCCAGCCTGAGAACGCGTCCTATCCTACTGGTATTTACATTTTCTCTGAGTGTAGACATTTACTCGTAGTATCCGTTAGACGTCCATCGCTCCCCTCAAGGAGCTGCGCAAACAGCGGCAGCAATGCTCGGGAACCACCTTCAGGGCGTCGATTCGCAAACAACCATCATGGGGACCTCTAGTTCCACTTCGATCGGCTCTTTGGAACCGGCTCTTGCGCAGATCAATTTGTCACCAGTGACTATCCCGGCTTTGCACCAGAACCTCATTGGCAGTGCTTCCCTTGGATTTCCCACTGATATCGTTCAAACTGGTGTGGCGTCGACGACTTTCACTTTGGCAAATCCGTTCACGGCCAGCATCAATCTGCTTGAAGTCACTGCAATCGCGACCTACCACAACCTGACCCTTGGCGCTATCAATCATGTTGACATGTCTTCAAACCCAATCCATGCTAATGGACATTCCAATATTACGTCGCTTGTCCTTCCGTTCAACTTTAACCTCGACCCGTTGACCATCATTGGGTTGATCACCACTTCCGCTCAAGAGCGCAACGTCGACCTTGGCCCTCTGACGAGATTATTCCGGCTAGTTATTGATAACCCGAGCTTCCACCCACCTGTGCGTTGAGTTCTTTCTCGATCAGCGCCTGAATAACCTCTTAAAGGTCAATACATCGGTGGTGTGGGAAAGTCACAACCAGCGACCGACTCGAGCTGCTTCACGAAGAAAATAATTCAACTAAACCTTTCCAACAGCAGGAGGTTTAGGACGGTCGCCTGCTTTGCGAAGAAACCCTTCCAACAACGGGAGGTGGACGGCTTGGTCTGCAGAATTCTTAGCTGGACCTTCAGTCATTTTCGAAGAATATCGTCAGACATCAGGAATACTGAGTACGCATATGATCGCACTTAGGCCGAATCGTCAAGGAAGACGCACGAGATGAT